CTTTACAGGTGAAGAATTGAGATGCAAAGAGGAAAACTAATGTATATATCTGAATAAGTCAACTTAGATTTACTAAGACCTAAAATAGAAAAACTAATAAAAAAACAAAAACATAATGAAAACTTGTTCTTACCCTTGAGCAGCCTCCAATCTTTTTGAGAAAACAAGGCAAACGCAAAACAAGTATTAAAAAGGCACATACTGACACACGAACATAAGCTACTATTGTGTGTATTAGACCAAGGGCAAAACAGAATACTAAGAACAAGGAATTGGATTATCTTTTATTTGATCCACATCCCAGGGTCTAACATAGTCCCTGGTGCATAGTGATTGCTCAAAATCTACTTAATTTTCTGAGTGCCTACTAAGTGTGTGGCATTATACCAAGCATTGTAAATAGAGATATGTAAAACAACCTCTAATGTCAAGAAGCTCCTGTGTGTTGGAACTGCTATAGAAAACCTCAAGGCAGAGATGAGCTTGGGAGAAGGGACAACACACAGGCAGGAATATATGAGGTAAGAAGAATGGAAACAGAGGCACGGGCACAGGAATAAACAATATTATGGATGACGACAGGGGGTGAGTGAGACACTGGGTAGACTTTGTCTCCCAAAGCAGAGAATTTATGTGGCAAGGAGTGAGAGAGAAGGCTGATGGATTAAAGAACATCTACTTAATAACTTGGAAAGTTAATATGTGAAACAACCAACTAGCACTATTTTAATCTGAGAATGGACCTCATAGAAGATATTTATGTTGCAGTTAATTTGAGTACTGGAAATAAACTAGTTGGCTCATGGCAGTGCAATTTATTATGAAGATCATTAAGGAACTATTCCACTACAAGCCATTCTCTCTGATTACCATAACTTTCCCCAGCTGTCTTCATCATCAATATGGGCCCTAGGGAAGTGCATACAATTTATATTATGGCAGGCATTAGGAAAAACAAAGTGAGCTTTATTAGGCATTTTCTTAGATTTTCTTAATAGTAATATTGAATATGACAGTTATTTAACTAATGGTGGTTCTACCAATTGTGTGAATTAGAATATATTAAACACTGCTTTAGGGAGGTAAAAGATGTTATTAAAGAATATTTAGGTGGGTTGGAAATGCCAGAAAAAAAGGTCCTACTCTGGCCTGGAGAAGGCAGCTAGAATAACAGATATTCAGTGATACAGGGAGATGGGAGGAGTCATATTCAAAGTAATTTCCTTTATGATAAAACTGTGAAATGAATATAATTTTATTCCCTCATTGCAGATAGAAGTCTTTATTATATTACAATGAAATGTGTTCAAGGTGAAAGATTTTGTGTTTTATATAAATAATATAAATAAGAATAAACGGTTCAGGGAAAACATAGTAAAGATTCTTCCCCTTCAGTAGCTCTCTTTTCAAAAAATAAGGAATAAATGCATTATGGGATGACTCTGAGAATCCTAGACAGATGTAGAAAGCAGTCTACATACAAATCCAGCCAGGCAATTGCAAAGTCTTAAACTGTCATTCTTTTTCTAGCCTAATGTAGTTGCAAGATTTGGAGTAAGGCAGTTCTGGATTCTAATCCCAGCTTTTCTGCCGTTTATCTGTGTGATCTTGGACACTTTGCCTAACATCTCTAATGATAAGATGCTGAATTTATAAAATAAGACTTAGAATAATTAACCATATATATGGTCGTTGTGATGATAAAATAAACAGGATGATGTATGTAAATTGTTTAGCACAATGCTTTGTAGCCCAAAGTGTGTGATATTAATAATATTTAATTATTATTGTTGACATTTTTGGTGTTACTATTATTAGTTTATTGAACTGGTAATACTCTGAATTTAATCAAAAGACTTATGTTTAGGTCCCAGATCAGCTGCTAGTAAAGATCTCTACTTTCTTACCTATAAATGGCAATACTATAATGATGATAACTTCTGTTTTGCCTAAATTACAGATTATGGGAGCACTAAAGATAATGTATGTGCAAACTATAAACTGTTAAACGAATTAAAAGCTTTTTCCCCTTCTAGAGTACATACCCAGATGAAAGACACCCATGTACAAGGTCACATGCCTCTATTTAATTCACTATGAATATAGTAATACTCTTAGTACAAGGGAAAAGGAATATCTATATAGTTTTTCAGTAATGATGACCTACTGTGAATCTGCTTCTTCAAGACTGTATTAATATGTAATCTTACTGCTATGAAGGTTAATTTTGTAAACATCTAGTAGTATATAATTCACTCAAGTTTAAAACTTGACCCTCGGCTAATAAATTGTGAACATTAAAAGGCTATTTCTACTACAAAATAATGGAGACTAAATATTTACTTATAACTCCTGCTCCAAAGATTAACATGAGAACAAATTTGCTTTTTAAAAATAAACACAAAGCCAGGATACAGTTAAGGAAAAGAAAAAATTCCTTAAACTCTTGGGCAGCATCTAATTGATTTTGGAAGAATGTCAGTAGTTAATTTTATATTTTGCACATGTATTGCAAGAAGTCTGGAGATTGTAAGATGACAGGTTTTGCTTGTATAAGAAATTACAGATGGCCTGTCCAGAGCTTAGTGATGAACGGATAGATTAGAGGCCAGTGGAAATTATAACTCAAATTTTCACTAATTTAGCCACAATGCTTATGATTGGACATGAACCAAGTAAAAATTATTTCTTCTTCTCGTGTAGAACAGATGGAATTTAAATATTCTTCTCCACCTGTATCTGACATCTTGTGATTTTAAGAGTAAAGATTTGGGTTAGATGAAAGGCAGCCTCAGGAAATTACTGTAAGTAAACTATGAGGAGGGTAAAAATATACTTGATCAACTCATACTTAGACTACATATTATTCCTTGTTGATGTCCTTGTTCTCTTTGTACCTCCCACTGGCATCTAGACCACAGATAGGATGTCATGGAGATGAAGGTAGAGTCAAAGTGGGCACTACTGCCAAGACTAATTATCCAAACATTGTTATGATGATTGATTAAAAATATAAGTGGACAGAGATTGGTGTGCAGTGATGGCTTTGGTCTTGAGATTTGAGAGCAAAACAGGCTTAAGAATTCAAGATGTATACCGTGACTCCCCACCCCCGCCCAGCTGCTTGCACAGTTCTGGGCATACAAGAAATAGGATTTGACTGAATAGGATCAAGTGTGGCTTTTTGCTCAATTATCAACTAACCTTCTCTACATTTTCTTTCTATCTTTAGTAATTATACTTATCTGATATATTTCAGTGCAAAGCTCCTTTAAAATGATAAAGCCTATAATGATATATTGAAAAGAGCAAATTCCTAAAAGGAATTCAAGACACGGGAAGTAATATATCTGTGCTGAAAAGAAAGGTTTAGCTGACCTCTAAGAGAATACAACAGTGTAATCATTGTTTAGAGCAGTTCAAAGATCTGCTTAGTCTCTACGACTTTTGACACTGAGCATAAATATCTAAAATATTTATAAGAGAAACTGAGTTTTTATTTTTTTTTAAAAATAACAGAATAAAACAGCAAGGATAAGGGTACGTGGATGTATGAAAATAAACATTGTTCCTTGGAAAACAGTTTTAAAAAGAAAAAACATCTCCCGCAACTAGGAAATGGAAAGGATGTTCAAGCTGTTCAACTATTTAGAGTTGTACACAGTGTGGGTGTAAAGCGCAGCAAAGAACAACTAGACCCTGTGAAGTTTCAACAAGAGTAGTGGGTGTATAAATAAACAATTAAATTGCGAGATACAACTACAGAAATAGAGGCATGCATATCCATAGGAAATAGGTCATACAATGGAGGAGAGCTAATCTGTACAGTTGTGTGCACAACATATCAAAATAAAAAATAAGCTATTTAACAAAAATGAAATGCCACCCAAAAGCTGTATGTCACCCAAAAAACAACATTTGCATGAAAAAAAGAACAAAATCCATAGTCCAGGATGTAAAATCCATGTGAAAATGTACCCTCCCAATGAACAGATCTCCCTTGGGAATTAAGGAGCACCTTTACTGGGACTGAAGGTGTAAAAGGGCAGAAAGTCGTTCCAATGCAAACTCTGCTCCCACAGAGAGGCATACAGGTCTTCCCTTTCATACCTGCCAAATGAAAAAAGGGCAAGGCTTTGGAGTTTTAGGAGAAACAGCAGCCCTCAAGCAGCAGCTGTTAACACTGGCAGACAAAGGGTCTAATGTCCTTCGAGGGCTAGAACAGGACTGCCTTTTGCCTGCAGACAGGTAAAAAACACCCGCTTCTTGCTTCTCTGTCTAGACTCTCTTGGCTCCATCTCTGTACAGTCTCCAATTATTTACTCTAACATTTTTCTGTGTTTATTATTCACAGCATAGAGAATTGAGCTCTTTTAGAGAAAAGATGTTATTTAGAGTATTTACTCATTTAGGTTAAAAATACCAAATAAGTTTGCATTGGCAGCTCTTTAGAAAATGATTATATGTAAATAAAAATTAGATTCTGATACTTAAAATGTAAATTTACATTTAGGAACAAAAGGATGACATGTTATCAAAAAATCAAAATGAAACTACTCAGAGTCAGAAGAAATTGTATCTGAGGTACATTTGGATTAAAGGTGACAAAGACAAGTTATCAGATAAGAGGAAATCCTGATATGTCTGGATACAAATACTTGTCCATGTTCCACAAGAATTATTTCTATGAAATAATTCCAAAGAATAAAGAAGTTGTCAAGTTAAAAGGGAATCTTACATAATTTTCTAAGTGAGATATGCTTTCTATTGCTTATGTGTAATATACACATTTACATAAAGAAAAATTCAAATTTTTGATGAATAAAAATATTTTTAAATGATGATCAAGGTTTAAATGAATTCTATGAGCTAGTGAACATAATACCTAGAAATAAAAAAAAGTTTCAAAAACTATAGCAAATTATTAGTATTAACAAATTTGTTCTTTTACTATTCTGCATGGTTTATTTTCTGGTTCATATTTTCAAAAAGTTTCTTACCTGGGCTGACTGTTTGCCTGGTCATGTTTTCCACTGAAGTTCAAAGTACAGAGATTTTTCAATTTTAAATGTGAAGAGTCTGATTCCAAATTTTCCTGTGTTTGTTCTCTCAAACGATCATGGAGCATTGCCTCCTTTTTCAAGTTCATGTCAGAATACGGGCAGCCAAAAGCACTGGTTTGTAATAAAATGAGAACGCAGTCGTCAGTTTATAGTGATAAATCAGTGATCCACTGTCATTGGAACAGATCTACATCCAGTATTTTAAAACTAAGTCGACATTCTTCTTTCACTGAACACACTCAAGTAAGTTTCTTTTCACATTGTCCTGTGAGAAAAATTTCAGGTTCTAGATACTGGTCAGAAGAGTCATCAGAATATATGGTTTTTACAATTTTGGAAACTTAAAAATCTAAGAATAACATAAAGATGTGCTTTCAATGGAGCAATGTAAATATTATATAAATATGACTCAATGTTTCCTCCAATATTTATGTCCTGAGTTGACTATTTATATCACAAATATTATGGGTAACTAAAATATTTACCAGTATCAGAGAATATTACGCTTTTGTTTCTTAACATTCCATATCCAGAAATACGGTATCTGGATGCAGCTTAATCCTCCTGAAACTCGTTAGGAAATCTGGGGTCTGAGTGGGAAGGGAGAGCTGCAGTGAAAGGGGACAGGCTAGTCAGGGCTGAGCCCTGAATCTTGGATGAGGCTGGAGCCTAACTGCAGGCTTGGGCAGAAGGATCGGCCTGGACAAATGATCTGGTTCTTTCTACAGGCTGATCGATTGTCCCTGTTAGCTTTCTGTGCATACGTCCCTGTCTCCAAAGAGGACCCAAACCTCTGCTGCTGTCAGGAATGGGGCAGCCTCTGCGAGTAAAAGCACAGATGTAACAGGTCACCTGCACACAACCCTGGATAAAATATTTCCTGCTAGAGCTTCAGTTTCTCCCCAGTAAAATGAAATTGAATCCAACTCATAAAGGTAGTTGTGACCATAAATATCTCCCTCCTCCCGCCCCCCCCCCCACACATCATTACCTGGTAGCTGCTGTCATTATCATAGTGTTATCATCTACATCTAGGAAAGCCCACAGGCAAATGCTTTAATATTTAGGCAGTTGGTTCTTCTTTAGGAATTTATTTTCTACTTACTGTAAATTTGCTGATACATGATGTATAATAAACTCTTTCTGAATATGTGAAAGTTTTCTTCTGTTACTTTAAGGTTATGATAAAATTAGGGACCAATGCAGTTTTTCAGCTATTTTAAAGTACACTGAATTTTTCAGGGAGGGCCTCTAATCAATCTAGTCTCAGAGGAAAGGTAATACTAACCTATATCTGGAATTTGAGACGGGCTGGTAGGATAACACCAGCCTGGCCCAACATGTCCAATGGTGACATCATGGTTCATCTGCTAGCACTGGACAAAGGTGCCCCTTTACATGCATTTTCTATAATTTGTAATAATCAGCATTGATTAGTGTATTCATTTATTTATTCATTAACTGAGCATCTGCTATATGCAAGGCACTTTAGAGAATACATAGTTAGTGAAGTTAAGACCTATATACCAATAAATATAATAACAAAAAAGCTACCCCTATTGAGTGTATACCATAGGTCTATTACAATTCAAGGTGATTTATATATATTATTTCTAATATTTTTTACTAAATACCCAAATATGGTATTCATGTTATTTATTTTACAGGTGCAAAAACAGGCTCACACAGGATAAGCAACTTTCCTAAAGATGCCTAGCACTTTCTTGGGAAGCCCCAAAATTGATCACTTAATTATTAGCACCAATCAGGTAGGTAGAAGTGGGACAAGGTTTTTTAACACCACCAAAAAAAAAAAAAAAAAAAAAGAACACAAAGGAAACTGTGGCATATTTCTTGTAGAAAGAGAAGCCAAGACAGGTATTTACAGGGTAAAACAAGTACTGGGTTTGCCGTGGTTCATGGCCAGGGGGACATGTGTCTGCATGTGCTGGTCCTTTGTGAGGAATGGAGATGTGAAGAGTACTATTTCCAATAACAACAAGTAGAAGTGATCTGTTTAAGATGTAGGATATGAGACTTTAGGGAGATTTTAGAAAGAACTTTCTGCAGACAAAACTTGAAATGGTAACCTAAGGGAGACTGGGAGACGTTTATTTCAAGCACAGCTGAGCAATCATTAAGATATTATTACTCAGAAGTTTTGCTCCCTGTGTAACATATACTCTCAACCTGAGATTCTTTTTAATGATCATTACTGTGAATTTTCTTAATTTCACATCATCACCCCGACATGATTTGTGCTGCATGGCATTCATGCTACCTCTTCCTAACGCTAGTTTGTTCAGCATTGTGGACAGCTACCATAGACCCCTTTGCTCAGTACTTGCTTCAGTTGAAAGAAATTTTATTTCCCTTGATCTTTATTAATAAATCAGCCCCTTCAGTCATTTAATCATTTGCCTATTTCCTAATTTCATGCTAGCCCCTCTTTGTTACTTGGGTACTAAGGTACAAAAACTAGACGGAACTCCCTGAGCATCACTAGAATGGAATATTTCCTGACTCTGTGAGGCAAGTTGTGTGAGAACATATCTCCAGATTATATAATCAGAATAAGATGTAAAGTTCAAAAGAATATATTAAATAACAAGAACATACTTTTCAGAAGAAATGCTGGAGAAGAACTTGAAAGAAGATAGTGATGGGAGATAAAAGAATATGGAAAAGAAGTTGTGATGAAGAAGCTTTCAAATATAATTGCATACTTTCAGCCTGGGTCTGCTGTGGACAAGCATCTGTATGGCAACACTGTGCTGACTTGCATTCTTTGCAGAGAAGCAGTTGTGATAAAGAGAGCATGGCAAACTCTGGCCTGACTTCATGAAAATGCAGACCTTTATTCTTGTGTATGTGCACGTGCCCACACATGGAAGAGCATGCGTGGTTCTGCATAGATCTATACACCTAGAGAAAAAAACCCAACTGAAGAGATATTCCAAGGTGTGATAAAATCATTTGAAACTTATTTTCATTTATTTAGTCAAATATTGGGTAAAACGGTTCTGAAGAAATAGTCTCTTTAGAAAGTTGTTGACATAAACTGAAATTTCTATGACATAAAGCTCTGTTGATAAAGGTAAAATGTCAGTTTCCCTCAATTCCCAATAGAGAAGGAAATTGTGTATTCAAATTTTACTCATTATAGATGGAGATAAGTAAGTGTAAATACTTCAGGTTAAAGTCTTGAGTAGCAATGTTTTGGGGGAGACATGGTTCTTTTGACTGAGCAGACCATTTCTTTCTCTCTCTCTCTCTCTCTCTCTCTCTCCCTAATTCAGTTTGTCTGTAGTTTTCAGGGAAAGAAGAAAGAGACAGCAGGAACTATTAGGTTGACCCGTATGAAACTGCAGTTTTAAAAAGTCAGACAGTCAAATATTGGGAAATTCATATGGTTAAAATGAATGATTTATTTAAAAATGTCAGGCCTCAAGATCATCAATAGCAAAGCAGATTAATAGAGGGCAAATGCTAAATAAGCAAAAAGCTGCTAAACAGTTGCAAACTTTTAAATGAGATTCTTTGACAGATTTAAAACTGAGATCCTAATAGTTCTCTTCATAAATAGGAGGAAACATAAAATGACTACAGTTAAAAATATTGGTTTTGCTTTTCAGAATATTTAAGTATAACTTTTAACATTTGAGGACAAACAAAAAAAGTAAAAGCAAATTGTATTTTTCCCCGAAAAAGCTGCACTCCTGTACTCTTCTGAAAAGCAGCGTTCCCAACTGATGCTCCACATTTGAGTTGTAATAAGGTTGGGATTGGAGAGAGCTGTATGAACAGGTGATGCTGAATCCTCGCTTTTTATGTCGGGCCAAGCCTCTGATTCTCCTTTCTTCCTTTCAGGGCAGGTGTACCTGATTGCACAGGTTGGTGCAGTTTCCCCATATTCCCAGGGCTGATCCTGACCTGAGGCTAGAGGTAAGTTGCTAAGTCCACTTGTTCATTCTAAAGTCCTAAGGTTCAATCCTGAAGCAGCAGCCAGTTCTGGTACCTATGGTCATGCCTTGCTCATGAGACCTACTCAGCCTCATTGTCTCTGGGTCTTCCAGCTTGGCATCTGCCTTGATTCTTGTTCCTAAATGCCTTGTTTGCTGCCATGACTAGAATTTAGGGCCCACTCTGTTAGGATGGAAGCCCTGTGTTCCTACTATGTTTTTGCCAGCCCCTTCCCATAACAAGACTGCTGGCTCCTAATCCCAACCTAGGAAGCAAGGGTCTACTTCCCACATATAATCCGGCCAGTCTGCCATGCGCTTACACCCTGGATTATTCGCTAATATGCTTTGCCCACTAATTGGGATGCCCTCCTTCTTCTTGGATCCTTCTAATCTAGCCAAACCCCTTGGACACCAGATTCTGCACATGCAACTATATTATCATCTTGTATCAGTTACGTGTTCATTTTCTCATACCCAAGCAGCAAATCTGGTTCCTGCTTCTCTCTAACTACCCTGCTCTACTGGAAATAGCGGGCCATGTCTGTCAAATTGTAGGAGATGAACAGTGTGGACTGAGACGTTATAACTAAGCCGTCACAACATACCTTAATGGTAGCTTCCCAATCAGTTTGCAGCTACACCCCCAGGGTGGCCAGGAGGGGCCTGGGGCACCAGAGTCCCAGGCTCGTCCTTCTGGTCTGAGCAGGCCCCTCAGGCTCTAAATCCCTTCTTGTTCCCAAGTTCTAATTATCATTTTCTCTCTGTGACATGACTTTAAAAGGTTAGGAAGCATTACAAATTTAAGCAAAAGGGCAAAGATGAAATAGCCCCTAGAGTGCTGTACATCAAAGCATAAATAAAAAATAAAACAGAGGTCAGCAGTATTTCAGGGAGAGTGCAAGTTGTTGACAACCTTTCTCCTCATCCTGAAAAGTGAAGTCACCCACAATAGGCAAGTGACTTCCAGGAGGGGACTTTACCCAGGAATATGTCCTCATGTAGCCCAGGAATTAGGAATATAGTTAGACTCCGAGTTCTTCTCTGATGTAACTAACTCACCTCTTGATGCAAGCTATTGTATTGTATATTTTAGTCTCAATTATTTTTTACTAGCAAATTGTATTCTTTTCCTTTTAAATGACATAG